CATTAATGAATCAATCAAATTTGAGGCTTAATTATATCATATTATTAACGAGTCTATAATTACTACTAGTAATGAAATAGTCAGATTCAAAATGAGCTTCGATTGCCAGAATTACTTTGGGGAAATCACTTGCTTCAAGTTATAGACCATAGAAATTTCTCATGAATGAATTAATTAAATATGAATATTAATTATACTATATTAACCAGTTTATTGTTAACTGTACAGGTAGAATACAGGTATTGTCTCTAGGTCACTCTGACCTACAACATATTGATTTAATATTGATTATTGATCTTTACTCTTCTAATGTTAACTTTATATCTCAGATAATTGTCAAGGGTTTAAATATTTACATAAGCAGATACAGGATATTTTGGAATAGGGGCTGTTCTCTTGAAAAGACATTGAGGGGGAGGGGAGGGTGGAGGGGGAGGGTGGATTTGTTCCAAGGTTGAAGTTTACTAGTATAATATAGTCAAACTTTCTATTGGTTTTTTTAAGTTTCCTGAAGCCCTGTACCTAATGCTTAAGAACTGATTAATTTGAAATTTGCTAGTATAATATAGTCAAACTTTTGGTCGTCATGCCCTGTACCTAATGCTAAAAAATTGATCAATTTGGTGTTGAGCAATATCAATGGGTCACATGATAACCAACATTTCATATTGGTTACTTTATCTTACTTATATTGTTTGTTTATAAATTATATGGTAATAGAAAGTTAGAGTGACACAATGTTGTACTATGTACTATATAAAGGTTACTGTATTGTAAATACCCTGTTAACTATTTACATGTAAACTATAATTACCTATACATGTTTTATATGCTCAATTACCCACATTCTATACAATAACTTCATGCTTAAAGGGAATGTTTTGTGTTTTGGAGACACTGATAGCATAGATTTTCACCATTCCAACTTTTGCCCTTACAATTCCACTAAAACTAAACATTTTATGACATAGATATTGCAAAGGTCTTTAGATATTGTTAGCAGCTTTTGAAAATCTTAAGTCAAAAAATGTTTATCATTTGTATTTAGTCAGGAACAACAGACATCTGATGGAAAATAGGAAAGATGCAAATACAAGTTAGAAAACCACTTTAAACCCAAAAAATCATATCCTATTTTAGACACAATCTGAACTTTTACTTTTACCTTCATCAATTTTTTTTATATATATTTACCAAAGTTAACCTGCATTTCAGTAGGAACAGCCAAAGTAAACAACAAGTACATACATGTCATCAGGGCAACATCAGTCCTGTCAATTTACCTTCTACATATCTTTTAATGCACATAACATGCAAATATCTTGTTCAGAAAATGTCAAACCTGGCAATGATCCATTAGCCTTCTAATTAAATTGTCAAAAATATTAGTTGTCAAATAGGCCAGATCTGACCTTTGACTTCTAATTTGAAGTGTTTTGTACTAAATGATTGTTTGGAAAGGATTGATGAGCCAAACTCTCAGGCTCAAATATTGAATCAGTCAAATAAACCACAGAAAATATATGAAACCAAATATCTAGTGCTGTATTTTAATCAGATTGAGTGAAATAACTCACAGAATATAAACGAATAAGATATGTGAGGCTGTATTTCAATTAATTTGGGTGAAGTTACCCACAGAAAATAAATGAAACAAAATATCAAGAGATGTATTTGAATTGGATTGTTTAAAGTAGCCCATTGAAAAGAAAAGAAACAAAATATCTTAGAGCTGTGAAACAATTCACAAAAATTAAAAGAACTGCAACAACTGGACATGATTGCAAACTCCTTTCTCATTTTGCAATTATCAACTGGGTTTAACTTGCACAGCCAATAATTCACTGAGTTTCACAGAGTTTCATAGATTTTTAACAAAAACCTTTCAAACCTGATTTTTATTTGAATCTAAAATCATGTCTACTGTCTCTGACATAAATTCAATAAAGGTTTTGGAATCATTCCAAACTTTTCACTTGGAAAATTGAAAGTAGAGATTGGAAGTAGACGACTTGGCTCTATTAGAATCAATATCAGGGAATTTATAACACTTCATCCTGATTATTAGACTTTATATTCTATAATTAGACACCTACATGACCAATCTTAAAATCTGTAGCTTTCTTGAGATGAGTCACTACCTTCAGTGAAAGGTTCCATAATATGATTTTCATGTGAATTGCATTGTTCGGTGTACTATTGTCCCATCATACCTGAACTGGAATCATTTGATCACTCTATGCTGTATATCCTACCAATTTGAGAGAGAGGGGTGGGGGGTGAAAAGACAGATTGATTACACCTTCTCTCACATAATTAACTTATCTATTGCTCTGTGACCTAGGCCAGTGCTTTCATTGAGACTCGTCTCAATACACCCTAACACCTTCTTGTAAAAGGAGAGGCAGGAATTACAAAGAAAATTGAGGTTTAAAAATTAAAACTTTCCAAGAAGAAAATAACCAATAAAATGTTTAAGAAATATATGATCTTACCTGTTAAAGCGACAGTATTTTGTTGAGTGACGGCCTCAGAGAATTTATGTTTATGCACTGCATTAGGCTTCTGAGTAATATTATAAACTCTACAATCCTGCACGATCACTTTCGGATTTAATTCCATTTTGATAATTCCTTTCGATAAATTTATCCTATATTCTAATTTCCTTTTTTTACATGAGTCAAAAATAATCACAGTTTTAAAATAATGTCATTTATTCATCAATATTACAAAAAACACCTTTTTTATCAGGTCATTAAGATCCTGGAATATTTCTGGGTGTGTTGTTTAAATCTTTTCCTGTTAAATTCATTATTTTTAAAGGTAGAAGTTCGTCCACGTTGTTAAAATCATCTAACTGTATCAGGCAATAAATTTCTTATTTTACATGGATCATAATTACCTCAAATTTACGTAAGTCCAATATGAATGTCTTAACACATCATTTAGATGTACAAAGAAACGGCACAACAAACATTAAAAATCCTGAAAAATTGAGCATCCGTAATTTATCAGTTGATTGTCGTAATGAATTCCATCTTCTTCATCCTAATTAACAGAGTATTTAATTAATAGAAATGTTATCAGTGTGTTAATTGATATACTGGTATCTTATCTGCCTCATTTAAAACTTTCACACTAGATATACGTCTATTTATCACAGATTCTGCTCTGTTATCATTTTCTACAAATTCAGAAAATTAACAGAAATTAACTCATGAACACAATGATTTGAAGAAAATTTAAATGGTATTAAATTGACAAACTATTTAAGAATCTTTAGAAATGTTGTCACAATAAATGTATATCCAAATTAACGACATCAAAACCTCAACACCAAACAATAATTACAACTTTATCTTCAGTTCTACTAAATCCACAATTTTTGCCAAACTTGTATTCACAAAATATCTAATACATATCATATTCAATAAACAACAAAAACTAAAAATAAAATACCCAATTGAATCGATAATGACAAATATTTTCCACGACAAAGATCAAACTATAACAATGAAAACAATATTTTAAAATATTATCAGTCCTGCTTGACCAAGCACCAGTTGTTAGGAAGCCATATTTTTTCATATTGAACGAAACAACGGAAAGCCACAGCTGTATTCAATCAACCAATCAGGAAACAGTAAAATAAGAATTCATTAATAAACAATTCACTGAATATAGCTGGCGTAATTAGTTAATTGGCTATTTATAGATATTGCACTTGAAATACTCTCAGTTGTTTATCAGGTAAAAAGGTGCTTTGAGTTCAAATCCCTTGTTTCAGTACCTTGTCCTTAAAGAATAAGAACTGTAGAAATTTCTAGAAAATCGTTATGTCTTTCAAGATGATATCCAATTGAGCTTTAATTCATACTTTAACACTTTATAAAAATGAATTTGAATTTTGAAGAACTGGAATTGATATTTTGAAAAAGTGGCCCCTGAATTTATTGAAACGATGGACTGAGCAAGATTTCTTCTCACAAAATACTGCATAAGGTTTGATAATAGAAACTCTCTTATAGAAGCACGAGTAGGGACTGTGAAGAACTGTAGTAGAGTAGAGAAAAGAATAAGGAGCATATAATCAAGTGATTTTGCCTAATTCTAAGTGATTCTTCACTATTTGTAAGTGATATTGAGGTAATACTCTTAACATAACTGTATTCATCAAATAATTACTGTGCCATAAAAACTCAAAACATAGAAATTCTTGAAAACAGACTATTATCAATACATATTCTATAAATGTTGTTTGGATTTCAGGTTTCATTTTACAGTTCAGATCGTTAGAACTTTTATCGTATTTTATAATTAAAATTCCTGGACTGGAACAATTCAATATATTTTGAGACAAATTCTAAGTGATTTGCTCCTAATTTAAAGTGATTTCTCCACGATTTTAAGTGAATTTCAGATAATCTAATTAACTGACAATGATAATAGCTCACTTGAAATAGCTACATTCATTAACTAAACCATTTCTACTATTTTTCCAATTATCTTTAAGAACATGAAGAAACCGAACTTAAAAACTAGACAATCAAAGAACATTCTTAATCACAAAACTGACCACAATATTGGCTAATTCTTTTCCATAAAGTCAAAATGTTATATTGTTATAGAGAATATTCCAAACTTACTTAAAATTTCCTTAAAAATCCTTTTTACTCCACACAAATGAGCGGGAAATCACAAATCCGAAATAATAAATGATCACTATCCAAAAATATTTCCTTGTATGTAGACACATAGACAATTTTTACACCTACATAATCACATTACAGTTTTATGTTTGTTCTATATAAATATTATTTCTTTTAAAAGTCAGATGACCTTGAAAAACAAAACATGTTCATACAAAACTTATCACAATCCAAACCACTACTGACAGAGCTATCCCATTATCCTAGCAGACAACAATCCAAATCACTACTGACTGAGTTATTCTACTATCCTAGCAGACGACAATCCAACTTACTACTGACTGAGCTATTCTACTGTCCTAGCAGATGACAATCCAAATCACTACTGACTGAGCTATTCCAGTGTCCTAACAGACGACAATCCAAATCACTACTAACTGAGCTATTACTCTGTCCTAGCAGATAACAATCCAACTCACTACTGACTGAGCTATTCCACTGTCTTAGTAGATGAGAATCCAACTCGCTACGGACTGAGCTATTCCACTGTCCTAGCAGACGACAATCCAACTCACTACTAACTCAGCTATTCCACTATCCTAGCAGACGACAATCCAACTCCTTGAAATCATTGCTCAACAATTTATACTATAAAATCAAGCCCAAGATAGTTCCATACATCAGATCACATTGGAGAAATACTGATTCAAATCTCAAACAGTTTAGATTGTATCGTGAATTTAAAGTCAACATAATTGAATTTTATTTGCCTTGAAATTTGTTGTCGATCGGACACACGGTTTGATCAAACTTACATTGTTTATCTTTCAACTTGTGTTCGATTTTTCTCAATTCAACTGACTTTTACAAACTGAATAAATTTCCATACACAGTCAGTCATCAAATAACACACAAATAGAAGAGAAAATCACTGACAAAGTCTAGTAAATATCCTGCCGAGAGATTGATAGTGTAGAGAGAAACTATGTAACCACATTGATCTTTCCGATATTAAAACATCGCTTAACACTGGTTAGAAGAGGTCAGAGATTTATATTCACCGATAACTGAGCAATTTATCTTTATGTAAAAGGGGAGAGAATAGGCGGGGCTGATTACTGAGGGGGTGATTGTTGGTAAGGGGTATTCTCTCCATAGAAGACATTGAAACTGGTTAACAGGGGTCCAAAGTAATCAATCCAATTATGAAAGGAAAAGAGAGGGTGGTGCTGGGAAATTCAGATAGAATGATAGGACAAGATTCATCTTAACAAAATATTTCAGCTGCTTTTACAAAATTGCCAGAACTCTTTCTTTAATTTTACTGAATTTTTCTACGAATTTTAAATTTTCTTTCAAGATAACATCATGATGCGGGCATATAAAAAATATTCCAGTTGAATAAAAAACAATCTTGTTATCTCGTATTAAAGACAAGGTCATTGTTAAATGTCAAATCAACTCTTCTGTCAGAGAAGTCCCATAAATATCTAACTAAGTTGACAGTCTTGCTCTATGCTATCGATTTTAAAACACTAGTAGGCCTACTGACAATAGACTGAAACACTCCTAGGGTTTTATTTTAGATTTTATATTAACATCATGATGCGGGCATATAAAAAATATTCCAGTTGAATAAAAAACAATCTCGTTATCTCGTATTAAAGACAAGGTCATTGTTAAATGTCAAATCAACTCTTCTGTCAGAGAAGTCCCATAAATATCTAACTAAGTTGACAGTCTTGCTCTATGCTAGATTTTATATTGCATGAATTGAAGATATAGCCAAAGTTTGAAAATGAAATGAAATGGAGTTTTACACCCTACTGTCCTATATATCATTATCTACAAATGTGAAGGCAACGGTAGAGTAGGCCTTCATGCCTATATTTTTCCATGTAGATTGTATCATAGATAAAATTAGTAAACAAGCACTACAAATAATAGCAGCCTTAAAAAAAATCACTGAAAGAAAAGCAACTGAAATAAATAATCGTACACCAGAATTCGAACAAAGTTTTCCACCAACACAAAACCTAAACACAATATTCCACGTTATTCAATTCAGTCAGTAATTGGACCACCAAAACAATATATACACACAATATTGCTGATACATGTCAAATTCATTCTGAGCACTGCTCCACAAATACAAAACCTAAACACAATATTCAATTCAGTCAGTAATTGGACCACCAAAACAATATATACACACGATATTGCTGATACATGTCAAATTCATTCTGAGCACTGCTCCACAAACACAAAACCTACTCGCCATATTCTTAGTACCAAAGTATCACAGTGTATTCAACACAATATACACACGATATCCCTAGTTGATATTCAACGATGACTATCGCTGACAATTCAGTCACTTAATAATTCGCCAAATACAATATAATATATGGAACAATATTCCAAGTAGGGTATCGCTGGTAATGAAATTACCCATACACAAAATAACAATATCTACACAATATAGCTGATACACTCGGAATTCTGAACATCTCTTCAACAACTCAAAACCTACAAGATATTCCTAGTAGAGTATTGCTGGTAATGAAATTAGATTATCAAGTTGTATAGACAATGTTTATTGACTATATATCATTGATTCTTTCCTAACTAATTTAATAAATAGATATAACATTGTTCCCATATCAATATCAACATTGATTCCTATCAGGGCTGCTGATACTACTGTATTTACCAGTCATGTCTGACTAGAGCTCTAGACTGATGATTTGACTGTATTTAGAAGTCATGTCTGACTAGAGCTCCAGACTGATGATTTGACTGTATTTACCAGTCATGTCTGACTAGAGCTCTAGACATATGATTTGACTGTATTTAGAAGTCATGTCTGACTAGAGCTCCAGACTGATGATTTGACTGCATTTACCAGTCATGTCTGACTAGAGCTCTAGACTGATGATTTGTCATGTCTGATTGTTGAATTGGTTGTATTCATACATGTGTAATCTACCGATATTGTCGGGTTTCTACCGCTTTTGCATGTTGTCTACCGCTCTACCGGCAGGATACCCAATTCTATCGATTTTTGTTTTTTTTCCTGATCCAATTTTCACGGGACCTACCGTTTTCAATGTTCAAATTCTCTACCATAAATCAACATCTATCATTACTTGTATCTTGATTCCCGATAACACGCGTTAATCTCATCACGTAATAATATTATCATTGTCTTATTAATTAATCCCCCAATTAAGATGGTAATTTGATCTATTTTAAGCCCACATGACACACTTTTTATAACAACATCCAGTAGATTCTACTTTCGCTTTTATAATAAATTTTACGGTAGCCCTACTTCTACTAAAAAACAAAATCTTGAAGTCTTCATAGTATTTTATACCGTCAGCGTCAATCTGTGAGGTCTATATTAGACATTGTTTCAGAATTATTTTTGTAATTTTACTGTAGCCTGTAAACATTCATTTTATTGCCTGCATAACGGCTTACTACTGCAAGTCTTTCCATATTATATCTGAAGAACGTCAAAATGAAAACGGCAAATTTGGTTCAATACTTCGTGAGGTTGTTGCAGGAAAAATATTTAATGATTGGACTGGAGATATTTTAGATGTCATGAATTACACCTTTGGAAAAAGTAACATTGCCAGTACATATCATTTACTAAATATTGCTTTCAGAACACACTGATTTTTCAATATGGTATTACATGTATGATGTAGGCCTACCCGTACCATTTAATTTAGAGGGCTGGGATCATGCTTGCTTTCTTGTTTTCAAACATCATTTCACCTTGACATTATTTTTGATTCAATCAATACTGAAGAATGATAAAATCAAATTTTTTTTGGGCCCCTAAATTTGACATATCAGGCACTATTTCTAGAATTATCCATAATTATAGATTGTTAATTTTAACTGTGTCGTATATAAACCTATGATCAATTTAATTAATTTACAAAGCTTAAAGCTTATTTTAAAAAAAAAATAAAAAAAACAATCAATTTGGAGTTTCAAATCACGAATTTACACGCTTTGGAAAAATCTCCCGACTTTTCACCCAATCTCCAGATTTTTCAAGGCAAATTTTTTTTTCTGACCTGTACACATGTATGCACCAGTTGTATCTACCAGTCGTGTCTGACTAGAGTTCTAGACTGTTGATCTAACTGTATTTACCAGTCATGTTAGACTTCTTCTCTGCTTTTTAACTTGAACTTTCATTATCAGTCAAATCTTAATGTCAAATTATCGCAAATCACTGAAGAAATCAACCCATTAAAAAGTCTAGTCATTGGAATAGCCGTTAACTTCCAATAAATTTAATTAGAATCTAGCCTGTTCACAAAAATTCACTAATATCATGTCACATAATATAAATCTAATGCCCAATTCATCTCAAATCCTTTCCTTAAACCAAATTACATTCCAATTTTAATAACATAATATATAGTCTAGCTCTAGCCTATTTAAACTTTCACCAATAGTCATAAATCACACAGGGTGTCTATCATTTACAAATTACAAATTCATAATATTTACCCTGATAACAGTTTATATCTATGACCTTCAATTTGAAGTGGAGCGTTATAAACCACATCATAAACTCTGAAAAATTACTGATTTTCCATTATTTTATAGGAAAGTAGAATTGACAACGCAATAGCTGAAACGCAACGAAGGTGACAATGTAATAGCAGAAAGGTATAAGGTGTTTCACAAAGAATTACCCTCCAATTTGAAGAGAGTTAAAATAATCAATTGATTTGACTTTATTTTCAATAAGATATTTTTTAAAAAGAAGATCTAAACAAGTAAAAGATGTAATGAGGCTTAAAAGGAAATAATTTCCTCAAATGGTATCGGTCACAACTAAGTACATACAATAGTACAATGGGTCTTTAATTTAATCCCCCTTTTACATAAAATGACTTGATTTGACTGAATTTACAGTTTGTTATGTTTTTGTGTGTCTCTATTCAGGAGTGATGAAGCTTAGAAAGGAAATGAGTTTCACTAAGAAAGATATCATAAGAAAGAGTAATAACTATTAACTTTTAGTTTTGCATGAATTATTCTCTACTATAATCATAACGTTTCATAGACACTTTCATCATCTACTGACTTCAAAATAATACATTAAAACATCGACTTAGGGTTCAAAATAATCACCTCCAATACATCAACTAGATAATAACTCCACATACATTTAAAAATGGTCAATTCAAATCCAATTTTATAAAAACTAACAGGAACAAAACTTTCAACCACCTTTCGTACCTTCCAATAAAATTTGTATTAACCATCTAGAAATGGTTTCATTGAAGCTGGACAAAATACACAATACAACACTTTAATACAACACTTTAATACAACACAATTATACAACGCAATAATACAACACAATAATACAACACAATAATACCACACTTTAATACAACACAATTATATGACACAATAATACAACGCAATAAAACCACACTTTAATACAACACAATACAACACAATTATATAACACAATAATACAACACTTTAATACAACACAATACAACACTTTTCAAACAATTCCCTTATCAAAATCATTA